GCCCATATTGCATCAAATCAATGCAACAACTGGAGGAAACATAAAGGTTACGGTAGTTAAATATTGTAGTTGTATATTATTTTCCTTTCCCACGTCACCACATAATTTTGTGTCTATTTTGTAGCAAAAACTATTTAAAGAATTCTACGAGAACCATGTTCCACATGCTCTAGGAATATTTGAGAAACTTCTGAAGTCTCGTGGTGGAAAATATTTTGCAGACAACAAGGTAAATGAGGTTTTTCATATACCATACTATGCTCGCTTGGTCCGTTTCATAAAACTGATCAAATATGGTGTGATATATCAGGGCCTTCGCTCGAAACGTCGAGGTTTTGCTCATATTTTCCAGGTTAGTTGTATGTCCTTCTCACAACAGCTGTTTCTAATCACAGAGCCCAAATCGTCTTCCTCGATTTTACTGAATGACGTACAACGACGACGATCGTTAAATATTTCCCGTGGATTTCTGATTATAGATCTAATCTGATTACAACTAATCACAACAGAATATGACTACTTATTTGAAAGACATACAGCTATTTCAATTAAGGTTGTTCCTCAAGCAAAGCGGAAAAGTCGAATACGCGAGCGCGAAAGGCTGCTGGGAATCGCTAGCTAATAAATTCATTAATTTCTTAGCGATTCCCAGCAGCCTTTCGCGCTCGTATTCGACCTTTCCGCTTTGCTCGGGGACAACCTTAATTGAAACAGCTGTATGCCCGAATTGATTATAGCCAAGCTTGTGTCTGTCCTCCCTCACGTAATGCCGATTATACTATTAATCTGCTATATACTGTAGCTATTACGTACCTAGTCCCAGTGAACTCATTATTGAGTAAATATCATGCATGTAGACGGATCGTCTGTCAAAAGGACTTGGCTATACAACCTCGTTTTCGGCCTTGTCATATCCCTTTATCTTGTTTCTGATGACCTAGATAACAGTATGATTTCGTGAAGGCTTCGATCTGCTACAAGATAAAGAATTCTAAACCCAAAATCTCAAATCACGAGAACGAGGCTCTATAGCCACGGCTGAGTACTTTCGGGAAGGGTGTGAAGCACATCTATCTGACGAACAAACCATCCAAAAACAAGACGAACTACGAAGTTTTGAATTATATACGATATTAATTATATATTAATTATATATTAATTTCAATGATCAACTAATTATTAATTATAATGCATGCAATAGTTTGGTGACCTTGACGGCTCTGATGCTTCAGTTTGTAAAATACGCTACAAAAAGCTGCAGTGACACGCGCGTTTTGGTCACCAAATTATCTGACTTTTACATATAGTGTATTTTTTCATGAATACATTCAAGTACCAGGTTTTTCTTTCGGAACCATATATTACATAGTATTAGCACAAGTGGATACGGGGCTAAATCCACCAGGGAGGAGGGGTGTTATGGAAATTTAGATCCTCTCTCTCTCTCTCTATATATATATATATATATATATATATATCATTTGACATTCGTAGCTTGCGTTCACTTTTAACTTCCACGTTAGTCTGCCAATGCTCAACAACTTTCCTGAAAATCTGCTTAATAGTTAACTCAACTGCAACTTTATACCTGAAATTACTTATGAAAAAATATTAGGGGAGGTGTTACAAATCCTACCCGCCCCCCGGTCGCTGCGACACTAGACAGCGTGATAATCAGGACATTCATTCAGTCACTTTAAGCACTGCTAGCTAAACAAGCTGGACCTCCGAAATGTGAAATAATATTTTTTTACTTCTTAACAGCTGACATATGCAGATATAATATTCTTCTCATATATGGAAATGTTTGAAAGCCTGAACAAAGGTCCTTCGCCAATATTGGATAACTATCCTGCACTAAAAGATCTGATTAACACAGTTTCAAGCAACCCTGGGATAAAGAAATGGTTGAGCGAACGGCCTGATCAACCAATCTAAGAATGCATTGATGTAAGAAAATATAACAAAATTTAAATGATTAATTCCATATGCATTCAGTGAGATGTATACGTTCTAGTTGTGACGAATAAATATCAGAAATTGGATGAATGTTCGTGCTAAATTCAACATAATTACACAAAAAACAATTCCACTTCGCATCGAGCCTTGTTCTAGCTATTGTCTACTTTGCATAAAACTTCGGATTAAATTGAACACCATCCATGGTTGCACCATATGTCTATGTAAGATTTCTCTCAACTTCTTGCTCTTATATACAGCTCAGTCCGGTTAGCCTTTCTCACACCGCCATTTTTGGGGTGCTTTTTTGCCAATCCTGCGGAGCGTAACACCGCGTAACGGCGACATTTTATAATTTTGTGGGTGCATGTATAATGGTAAATTTACCCTGTAAATGGTTAATTAGTTTGTTCTGAAATATTGCTTTTCACATTGTTATAATCGTTTACGAAAAATTACAGTACCCCAAAAATGGCGGCGTGAGAAAGGCTAATTAAGGTTGTCCTTGCAAAAACGTGAACCTTATAAACTCTGAGCGCGCAAGGGATGATAGGTCATTGCTTATTTAGACTCGTAAACTTTGAAATTTGGCTTTGCAAGAATACTTAAGACATATAGAAGACTCACGACAGAAAACATACTTGCTGCAAATCTTAACTTGCAATTCTCAAAATTTAGGTGCGAGTGAGGCACCATGCATGCTACTGAAAAGTTACCCTGTTTCAGACTAAAATACTAGAAAATACATATGCAGACACCCTCGCCTTGCTGAATTCCAAACATGAAGTATTGTCATAGTAACACGATAATTTTAAGAATAGTTTTAAAATTGAAAAATCCCCCAAAATATCACTTTTAGTTACAAAATGATCAATTTCCCAAACATATATATGCAAGGTATGTTATTATACGTAATATAAGCTTCAATTTAATGTGAAATTCAACCACAAACGCTTCGCAAAACGTTTTATATAATAATTACAGTGAAACACGCAATTTGATTGGTCAATAGCCGTGCAGGATCAGGCTATCTTGCACGAGGAATTAAAATTCCTTCGCGGGATTCTCAAAATGTCATTGTTTCACTGTAGTTATTTTATAAAACAATTACCAAATGGTTTTCCAAGCAGGATAGCGTGATCCATGCACTCGGGATGTTGCTCGACTTTCGGAAAACGTGAAAATACACTCGCCTGCGGCTCGAGTATTTTACGCTTTCCGAAAGTCTCGCAACATCCCTCGTGCATGGATCACGCAATCCTGCACGGAAAACCACTCGGTATTCCTTTTTTAATTAAAATTAAAATGTTCTTAAAACTAAAAGCAAGCAATACATGGCGGCGACTTTGCTCCATCCTTTTAGACGTTTTCAGACGGTTTTTGGCTCTCAAAAAGGTTTTGAAATTTGCAAAATCTTGCAAAAACTGAGGCCACAACACAATATATTTGCTGATTTGCAAGAAATGTTTGTTATTTCGCTGTCGTCATTTGTCATACAACAACAAATTTTAAATTTGACCAATCAGTGTTCGCTATTCATGACAGTCCGCCACATATTTTGAGATCAGTAAGGATGACCACCCACTCAACATCGTTGGTCACCCACGCCCGTGATCATTGATGAACTTTAGACTTCGTTAATGCTTTCGTTTCCCCGGGTGTAAATAGCCTGGCGGAATTAGTACCCTCGCCCCGGACTTACGCCGGCACCGTTGGCTCAGGGATAAACGAGTTTCGTATCCTATTTTAGACGAAAACACAAATCATATACCACCTGTCAGACCAGAAAGCATAAAACATACCAATTTTAGTCCAAATGTGTAAAATCTATACCCCAATGTCAGGCTTTATATTTATGTGTTTCAAACTCATTAATGGGGAAATTACCCAACCGTATTATTCATTTTACTCGCATGATGATACTGGATACTCAGTCCTTAGCTAAAAATTCAGTCCTTAGCTAAACTGGAGAAAATTCGGACTGGAGGATTCAAATACTCATGGGGGTCTAGCAGCGCGGGAGGAGGGGTGTATGTTCCCTTGGGAAATTTTCCTTGTTCTCCCACAAAGATTTCATCATGTTTCTTGTTCCAAGCTTCTAATAGATATTCCTTCCTCTTCCTCCCTGTGATTATTTGGTTTTGTTCCCTCCCTAAAACTCCCTGGGAGACCCTCAGTCGGCGAAACGAAAGAGCTCGGACTTGACATCATATAGTTGAAGGGTATTATAGATGGAAATTATCGAGTGGAAATTTATATACATTTATTAGACCTAACCAGGAGCAGCTGCAAAAAATGCAACTATATGTTCCTGGCAGGAATCGAACCTGCGGTCCTGCGATTACAGCCAGTGCAGTGTTCTAACCAACTGAGCTACAGAGACCATTTTTCGAGTTCTAACCACAAGTTCATGTGTACAGGGACGCCGGAACTGGGGGGCAGAAGGGGCAGACGCCCCCGTTGCCCTTTACCAGGAGGAGCAAGGGGGCAAAGGTGCCCTTTCAATTTAAAGGATTGCCTTGGCGAAATAGCGAGTTGTCAGAAATGTTAGTGCAATTCTTTTACGAATTTGCTTCAGAAAACGCAAAAAATAGCAGTTATAGCGCAAACAGTTCGCCTGGCGGACAACCCCCTCACACCCCTATCATCCAATAAATAGAAAACATGATTAGGCGAAGTTCAACTCCCAATGTTTTGTAAACATCTCTTAGTATATATCAATTCAAAAGTGCCCTTTCGCGAAAATCTGCCCCCCTTGCCTTACATCGTTCCAGCGTCCCTGCATGTATACAGCTGTTTCAATTAAGGTACGCTGTCCCTGAGCAAAGCGGAAAAGTCGAATACGAGCTAAACTCCTTTACACAAAACGTATAGCCGTAGTTCGAAAGAGGTATTTCACTAGCCTCCTCCGCAGGCATCTCTTCGAGAACTTATATAATTTAGTTATTCAAATAACTGATGTTCTGATTGGGTTACACGAGATGCCTACGTAGGAGGCTAGTATTTCACTTATTTTTAAGAGACGATTATGGATAGCGGCCACGCTGGGACGAAACTTTAAATTCTTGTTCTGCATTTGTTATGCATATTGGAATCGTTGTGAGGGAATTTCCATAATAACAAATTCCTTGTCAACAGTGGAATCGCCTAAAATAATTTTATCATATTCCTACAAATGACTCAAACCTGCCTTTCTGGTCACGCTTTTTCCGTATGATAATTATGCGAGATGAATATTTAATTCATAAAACCCATCGTACTTTTCGCGCTTGGCTTTTATCTTTTAGCTTTGTCGGCTGTAATCTTGATGCCATTAGCTGTATACTAGGACCGGTACTGGTTATGGGTCTTACGGGTAAATATCATGTTCATGCCCAGTCCTCATCGACCGTCATGCCCAATCCTGATTTTCGGATATGAAATATGACATAATATATAGGGGTACTATCCTTTTTCAATGGCTTACTCACGGTAAAATTAATGCACCATATATGTAGCTGCAAAGAGTGTAAAGAGCATGCGTTGGAGCTGCCTCGTAGTATTCAGCTTCATTACATGGCAATAGGTGTTGTATTACAATGTTGTAACGAGTCGAGTCATTGACTCTGACTTGAGTCATTATATTCATGCAGCGACTCGAGTCCGATACCAAAAATAGGTCCGCGGTTGTGAACATGCGGCTACTTCCAGGGGCGCCGGAAGCAATGTGAAGCGGCGGGGGCAGCCATTTCAAAAGGGCACTTGCTTCTCACCCTTTTTTTGGGCGGCAATATTTGTTAAAACTTTATTGTACGGATACTCGATTACTTGTGGCTGTTGTGGGTCGGCAAACCTCGACATTAATTTTGAACAATTTTATTTGTTGCACCATGTTAAGGGCACAAAATAAAATCAGTAAACGGACGTATATTGCCTGATTTAAAATTAATCAGGGGCCGCGGAACCGGGGGGGCAATGGGGGCATGTGCCTCCGGCCCACTTTTTTAAAAGTGAAAAAATGCACTTTTGGGGGGCTAGAAAGAAAGTGCCCTTTTTGCAGCAGTAAAGAGTCTGTAAAGGCCATTTCCGACGTTATAGGAACTCAAAAAATGTTTGTTCGGCTCGTGAACGACATAAAATCGTTTGATTTTGATCATAATTATACAAAAGTGATTCCGCGGCCTCTGGCATTAATTTTACTATAACTGGTCAAAATTAAGCAAATTAAGATTGCTTAAATATTGCTTAAAAATAATGATAAATTCCAATTCATGTGAATAACGCACAAATATCGAAGCGCAGTTCTGGTGAAAAAGGGCAACCTGTTGCCCCCGTGCCGCCCCCACAAACGTTTATATTTTTTATGCTCAAGTAATGACAGCATTTCTGGAATTTTCTGGAGCATCTACAAGGGTAACGAGTAAATGAGAAGACTGTTTTAATTAAGGCTATTTTTGTTAGTTTGGTGACTGCACATTTGTGTTTTAAGAACTGCACAAATGGGTTTAGAACTGCACATTTTGTGTAGAACTGCACGTTAAAATAAACTCTGGTCCCCTCTGCATGGCGCGAGAAAATGACGCGAGTTGACGAAACTCGTGCGACCCCAAAATAGATAGGAGTTTCACATCTGTATGTATTATTTAATCTGTGGTATTTCAACTTTCAAAAACATATATTTGGAAAATCGTTTCATACAATGAGCTTTCAAGCAATATTGCTTTGAAGAAATAAGAATTTGATATACTTTGGGAAATTGGGAAATGTAGGGTAAGTTTGCTTTGATCACTTGCACTTCACTTGGTGGTATTAATATCTGAATGTTGTTCTTAGGGTTTGTAATCCAAGTGAGCATATATATACATTTTAAGACCTGACCAGGAACGACTGCGAAAAATGCAGCACAAGGTCCTCTGGTAGGAATTGAACCTACGGCCCTGCGATTCCGGTGCATCGCTCTAACCAACTGAGCTACAGAGGGCAGCTGTTGAGCTGTAACCGTAAGTTCATGTATATATATATATAGGTGATCGGGTGTGCGGGTTGTGATAAGGTGGACTTCAAAGATCTGATTACTTGCACTTCACTTAGTGGTATTAATATCTGAATGTTGTTCTTAGGGTTTGTAATCCAAGTGAGCATATATATACATTTTAAGACCTGACCAGGAACGACTGCGAAAAATGCAGCACAAGGTCCTCTGGTAGGAATTGAACCTACGGCCCTGCGATTCCGGTGCAGCGCTCTAACCAACTGAGCTACAGAGGGCAGCTGTTGAGCTGTAACCGTAAGTTCATGTATATATATAGGTGATCGGGTGTGCGGGTTGTGATAAGGTGGACTTCAAAGATCTGATTACTTGCACTTCACTTGGTGGTATTAATATCTGAATGTTGTTCAGTTGGTTAGAGCGCTGCACCGGAATCGCAGGGCCGTAGGTTCAATTCCTACCAGAGGACCTTGTGCTGCATTTTTCGCAGTCGTTCCTGGTCAGGTCTTAAAATGTATATATATGCTCACTTGGATTACAAACCCTAAGAACAACATTCAGATAAGTTTGCTTTGAATGTCTAATATCTTTGGTCTTGTTGCTTTGATTTTTGGCGTATTAAAAACAATGCACTGCTTTCCTTTCAACTATGTAGCTGTAACTTTCCTAAATTACCCTGTTTAGTTGAAAACATATGTCACAAAAAATATTTACCTTATTTATATTTTTTAAAACGTACGACCACTCGAGAGGAGATATTTTAATATTTGCCAAATTTTGCCGTGAGCAAACCAGTAACAACCCACTACTGTAGAGGGGGGCTGATTAGTCAGGGGCGATTATTAATTGGGTCATCATTTTCCCACTCAAACTTTACAGATTATCGCTAGTTAACTTGGGGAGGGGCGTGTTCCCCAGAAGTAAAAGTGGGGGCCTTAGCCCCCCCCCCAAAAATTTTGTTTCTTCTGGAAAAAATTTTGATAATTAAGGAAAAAATTTAGGGTATTTTTGGAAAATTTAGGTATAAGGGGAAAAATTTGCAATATTTTGTTTAATTTAAAAAATGTATGTACGGAAAATTTTTTGTTATATGTCCGGAAAAATGTTTTTCATCCCCTTTTTTGTATATGTCCGGAAAAATTTTTTGGTTTATGTCCGAAAACAAAGTGTCGACGGGGGGGGAGAACACTTTAATAACGAAAATAAACAAGCAGGAGTGTTTTATCTGGTTTAAAGCCACTGCACGTGACATATTATGGTTGACATGATTTGCCTATAAGCTTATGAATTGTCAACTGAGAGTTTGAAGATGTTCAAGCCAAGACGCACTCGACATTGTTCTCCGCTAAAGCGATTTTCTTCCTTTCTGTAATTTTCCCTTCAATACAGAATGTTGTGGAAAAAATGAGCTAACTGACTCTCTCTGTATCTTGTTTAAAGAAATATTTCAAGAAAATAAAGGTGGCGGGGGATGTCTAACTCATTTTTGCCCGTCGTTGTAGATATGGATCTATGGATGTAGGTATCTGAAGTACAATTAAACTGAAGACAAAGACAACCTACAAATATATTTTTGTACAATATATATACTTAGAAATTGTACGGAAGCCGTGAAGGGACTTCAGACTTCAGACGTCAGACTTCAAACTTCAGACTTCAGACTGAAGACTTCAAACTTCAGACTTCAGACTTCAGACTTCAGACTTCAAACACTGGTTCCGAGCTTCGCTAATAGCCAACATTTCTTCTGCGAAGCTGGCTAATATTTAAGGCACTTGTTCAGTCAAAGCTATTCAAACTAAAGTTAAAAATGGCCAGAATGATTTAGATTGTAAATGCAGACTGTTGGAATGTGTCAGTGAGTTCTGACAGTTCTTTGCAGGTTTAAAGGCAGAACGATAAAACATATAATACTATTGTTTGTAGAAACACCACATCAATTTATTACCGCAGTAAATTTATTAACTTTATTCTGTAAATTTATCAAGTTAAGTATAACACGCGCTCAAAACTAATGAGTAATATGCGTATAATATACCACTTGAGGTTATGACTAAATTCAAAATTTTTGTTTTTTGACTGAACGCTTCTCAATCGGCAAACAAACTTAAAAAGTATGTTTAGTGTTTTATCTGTAAAATAATGCTAAATTGAAGAGATTTTAGGCTACGCCAAAGAGAAAATTACGTCTGAAGTTCAGTAAGTTTCGCTTATATTGCTCGGCAATTGCTCGGCTTAAATATAGCGTCAATTTTAAAGCATCATTGATAATTGTGTTTTAATTGACAATTTTTAACTATGATTTTATGTTTCTCAACCGGCAGATGCATTTAATTAAAAAGGTAGCTAACTGCGAGGCTAACTGTATAAACTAAAGAGCAAAGAATAAAGCAAAAACAAAGTGATTCTAAGAGGAGGAACGCAAAAGCAATTTTGGCTACTAGCGAAGCTCGGAACCAATGTTTGACAGTCAGACTTCGGACTTCAGACTTCGGACTTCGGACTTCAGACTTCGGACTTCAGACTTCAGACTTCAGACTTCAAAGTTCAGACTTCAGACTTCAGATTTCAGACTTCAGACTTCAAACTTCAGACTTCAGACTTCAGACTTCAGATTTCAGACTTCAGATTTTAGACTTCAGACTTTAGACTTTAGACTTTAGACTTTAGACTTCAGACATTGGTTCCGAGCTTCGTTAGTAGCCAACATTGCTTTTGCGTTCCTTCTCTTAGAATCACTTTGTTTTTGCTTTATTCTTTAGTTTATATAGTTAGCTACCTTTTTAAATGCATCTGCCGGTGGAGAAACATAGAATCATAGTTAAAAATTGTCAATTAAAATACAATTATCAATGATGCTTTAAAATTGACGCCATATTTAAGCTGAGCAATATAAGCAAAACTTACTGAACTTCACTACATAATTTTCTCTTTGGCGTAGTCTAAAATCTTTTCAATTTAGCATTATTTTACAGATAAAGCACTAAACATACTTTTTAAGTTTGTTGCCGATTGAGAAACGTTTCGAAAAATAAAAATTGAGTCATAACCGCAAGTGGTATATTATACGCATTAGTTTTGAGCGCGTGTTATACTTAACTTGATAAATTTACAGAATAAAGTTAATAAATTTACTGCGGTAATAAATTTATGTGGTGTTTCTACAAACAATAGTATTATATGTTTTATCGTTCTGCCTTTAAACCTGCAAAGAACTGTCAGAACTCACTGACACATTCCAACAGTCTGCATTTACAATCTAAATCATTCTGACCATTTTTAACTTTAGTTTGAATAGCTTTGATTGAATAAGTGCCTTAAATATTAGCCAGCTTCGCAGAAGAAATGTTGGCTACTAGCGAAGCTCGGAACCAATGTTTGAAGTCTGAAGTCCCTTCACGGCTTCCGTAAAATTGTGAATTAGTCAAAATAATATACACAAATTATAAATCCAGTTCGTGTGCTTCAAGTTACTCCAGTCCTCGTTTTACCTCCATTTTATCCTTATCTGTCCGCTTCTCTGCCTTTTGATCAGTCCGCTACCTGACCCGTTGTCCGCATCTCCGTCGAAAGAAAAAATGCTGAAATTACTTAAATTAAATTACGTAACTCTTGAAAAGAAAACAAAAAATCCACATTCCTGTTGAAACGCCATCAAATGTTTTTGCGCAAATTTCAGTTCCCAAACCCCACATTTATTAATTGTGCTGGAGTGCAATTCTGGAATACGATTAATAAAATAATTGTACTCCTCTCAACCAATCAGAATTCAGTAATTTGTCATGTAAACATTAAATTTCGCATCTGTTGCAGCTGACGTACGCCGATATTCTGTTCTATGGCAGTGTTGAAGCATGTTTCTATGCTGATGACGCCAAAAAGGGTGTTCCATCTGCATTAGATGCCTTCCCGTTATTGAAGGATCTCTATGATAGAGTTGCAAACAATCCTGGAATTAAAGAATGGGTCCAAAAGCGTCCAGACACAGCTCATTAAATGAACAGTTTTTACGCGAGCGAACGTTAGCATGCACGATGAAAAAATGATTTTTGTATAGTAGAACTGATTACCCTGCTAGAAGTAGTTTCTAGCTGAAATGATAAATTTTCAATTAGAAACGGATTATATAGTAAATTTAAAATATTTTCAGAAAAATGGTGCAGTTATATATATTCAGCGGTAACATTTGTAGGGAGATCAGGATACATCAGTTTGGTATACTCAAGCGCGTTTCCATTGCAGTCGTATCATACAACGCCGGAGTGGTTTGAAAACGGCGCAGAAAAGTCACAATTAGCCATTCTCGTTCACACTACGCCGGAGCGAAATTGTTTGCATGAAAACATCACTTTTGCCGTAACAATTTGCCAGAGCACGGTTTCTAAACGGAGAGAGATGAAAAATGAGCGCTTGGCGGCTTTGTGTGAACACAAACGCCGTTACTTTTTTGTAGGCCTACCGCTTGCGAACCAAGCATCTCAGGTCTCAAAACAATCAATTCGAATGCTTTTCGTTTAAATTTCTTTGCTCTATTTGAAATATTTTGTGTTTACATGAGTGCTAATTTAATTTGTAAACAAACTGTAACGGTGTGGTGCATGTGACTACACATAAATTCTTCCTGCATTATTTGGCGCCAGTGTAGTGTGAACGTAGTCTAAGGGACGACGGATGATCTGTTTGGACAAACTTGGGCAAAGAAAATATAGTTCGTTTGATTGAATGTCTGTTTATAAGGGAGGAAAACAGATGGATAATCTGTAGTTCGTCTACTGCTGCGTAGTTAGTCTTGACGGACGATCTGTCTATGTGTGAAAACGTCTTTAGACAATGTATCGAGGAATCAACAGTAAATATCTACGACGTACAGTTAGTATAAATCCGTTTTATGATTGGCTTTTTAAAACGGAAGTGATCACTATTGTGACTCGTACGTTCTTCATTCTCTTGTGAGGCGACCCAAAACCAACGCTTTGCAGTAAGCCTTTCTTTTGAAGGTACAAACTCTAAGTTTTCGGCCCACCCTGTGCATGCTAAATATTGAAAATGGTTTTCTTGATTCTTGAATGGTAATTATACATCGATTATGGGCATATTTAATTTGTCTGTTAAAACGCACGTACTTAACTATCTTAAAAAGCAGTAATAGTAGTGGCCTAAAACTACACTTTGAATCACGGACACGGGGCAAGAAAAATGCTGTCACAGAAAAAGAGGAACCCATTGAAAAATAGATTTTGTGGAGACAAAATTTTGACTGAGAAAAGATGGGAGAAAGCATTCTATTTCTATTATTTCTATGGAGGAATCTTACAGAAGGTCGACTTCTTGGTTTTGTCTATTGTTTTGGCGTAACCGTTGCAATGCTGTCACCATGGTCTTACCAGTGCGCTTATGACAGGCATTCACCCTCCTGAAAATATTCCAAATGAAGAACGTGAGGGGGGTGAATACCTCTCATAACCGCAGACAGCATTTTGATGACGAATCATGGTGTGGCAGCAGTTACGCTTTTCTGCTGAGTCAACCTTCTGTTTGTCTCTATTCCGTGATGCTGTACTTTGTTTTACTTGCTCTCCAGTCACTACTGTTCTCATAGGCTTTACTGGTTCATTGTACATAGAGCTAGGATCTCGTTATTAGACTACAAGATGTTTAATGTCTTCGGGGCTGGGTCCCTGCTGGCAGTGGTTTTTGATCTGTTATGCTATATCGCTTCTGCGAGCTAGGAAATTTAAAGAATGAAAGAGTGTGAAATGCACGAATTGAGGTAAGAACGTAAGAAACTATCACTACGTTCTCACGAGACAGATTGGACGAATTTGCAGCCGCACGCAAATTGTTCGTCCGTTTCCACATTGCGTAGAATTGTCTTTGAGCCCCACCCCCTAGTAGTCTAGCTGCAATCATGGAAATAATATCCGTACACCTTTCTAAAACGTATCTTGTTGCTGCCGCAGCGAGCGAGCGATGCTTATTCTTGTATTATTATATCACGATAGAGCTAGGTTTACATGGCCCAATATTCAATAAATAGTAAATCATAAAATAAAATTGAAATTTTGCTCCAGAGGCAACATGCCGAAGTCGAGCGTATTTATATTGTAGCGGCGACGCCGGCGAGAGCCAATGTCCCAGTGAACTATAAATGTCTGTATTAATAATGATCTAGTGTTTGTGGTGA